GGGCTCAATCTCAGGACCCTGGGATCATGACCTGAGCCGAAGGCAGACGCCTAATGACTGAGCCACCCAGGCGCCTCTGATCTATTGTCTTTAGATAATAACATTTATTATCCTTTGTCAGGGATAAGGAGAGGAAGCAACATGGCTGTAAAAAGTAGGGAAAGGGCTCTACAGGTAACATGTTCCTTTTAAAGACTTTATACCCAGTCTCTTCTTCCTAGACTTATACTGCATGCCTACTTTTACAAGTACCATGTATCTCCAATTTCTGATCCTTTCCAAGTCTATGGCCCAGATCGGCTTGCATCTTAATGTCTTCTGCTACAAACTTACGTTTTGAGTTTTCTGCTCTACTGAGGCTAACAAGTATTCGTACTCCATTTTGTAGCTTCCAAAATTGTTGACATTTCTTACCTGTTGTCTTTTCTCTTTTTATTTTAACTTATTTATTTCATCTTAGAGAGTGTGAGCGGGGGGAGGGGCAGAGGGAGAGAGATAGGGAAAGAATCCCAGGCAAACTCCCAGCAGAGTGTGGAGTCCGTCGCAGGGCTCAGTCCCACCACCCTGAGACCATGACCTGAGCTGAAATCAAGAGAAGCTTAATTGACTGAGCCACCCAGGCACCCCTCTCTTGTTTTTTATCCTAGTGTTTTATACATTAAAATTCCTAATTATTGCTTTACCTATCATTTTATTAGAGTTTTGAGAGTATACCAAGATAAATGTACCTGTTTAATCTGCCCAATTATAATCCATGACCCATATCTACCTGTAGGCTGACTGAGAGAAAGCTTATTGGCCTAGTTTTTATTAAAAAGCCAAATGTGCTTCCTAAGAACATTCAGTAGAGCCTTTTACATAAAGACCAAGGGAAAAGAGAGAACTAATTTTGCTAGGCAAAAAATTGAGGTTTTAGTGAGAATGATTATGTGTTACCTGTGTGAAAATATTGTGAGAAAAACAAATACTTCAGTCAAATATATTTTATTGAGCTGCTTCTATTCAATTGGCTTCAAAGAGGAAGTCATTTTTTCTTCATGTAATCATGTATGCATAAAAGTGAAATTTGTTTGGAAGGTAAGGCAGTAAAGTGAAATATAACCTCTTAATTTTTTTTTGCCATATTTTCATGGTATTTAGATGATGCCACTTTCCTCATAAGAAAGATATATAATCTGGGACACCTGGGGTGGCTCAGATGGTTAAATAAGTGTCTGCCTTTGGCTCAGGTCATGATCTCCAGGTCCTGGGCTCCCTGCTCAGTGGGGAGTCTGCTTCTCCCTCTCCTTCGGCCTCTCCCCCTGCTTGTGCACGCTCTCTCAAATGAATAAATAAAATCTTAAAAAAAAAAGACATATAATTTAATAAAAATTAATAGATCTAGCAATATGGTGGATTAGGGAACCCTGTAACCCTCCTGCCACTATTACTACTCAGAAGTGCTAGATAAAATATAACAAGCAAACTTAAATTCATACCTGAATGAATTAAATTCATTCCTGGTGCAGGAACCTAGGAAAGCAGTGAAAAATTGCACTTATGGTGCAACTCCTCTGTATTTGGGAGGGTGAGGATGTTGGCTTCTGTCATCCAGGGCTTGGGGTTTCACTGCTCATAGGCATAGCAGGCTAAGCTCTGGGCTTACATGAAGAGAGCAATGGAACTGTACTGAATTTTCATCCTTCCTGTTAACTAAGCTCAGAACTTTGGAGTCTTCCTTAACTCTTTCTCACCACACATTCAATCTGTCGGCAATTCCAATTTGCCCCACCTTCAGAGTATATCCAGAATCCAACCACTTCTCACCACTTGTACTGCAGTAAATATTCATTTAATGTTACTTATACCTTTACCACTTCCTCTGCTCTTTAATTTTTTGCTGAAATTCAGACTTTTCCTCTGATGTAATTTTCTAACTACCAAAAAACTTTTAGAATTTCCTTTAGTGCAGATGGGACAAAGACAGCCAAATACCACTGAAGACTTGAGTTCCCCTTCCATAATGTAGAATTGTTGCTAGCAAGAGACTCTCCAATCGCAGGCCACATTTCTCAGGCTCCTCACCCCACCTTATGTTGTGTCCCTCTCTGCCTCTTGCACTTATGCAAAGCTATAAGACTAATTCTTATCAATAGGTTGCAAGTAGAAGTGATGGGTATCATTTTGGGTCTCAAGTGTATATAAGCAAATGTGCTTCCTCCACTGCCTGTTTAACCATCTGCCACATGAAATTGAAAGACTCTGAGGCCCAAGGCAATGGCAGAGTTACAAAATGGAAAAAGCTTGGGTTCCTGGATTACCATGTGAAAGTATGCCCACCGAAAAACTGTCTTGGACTGTTATACAACCAAGAAATAAACCTCTATTTAGTTAAAACACTGAAAACCGAGGTATGTTGGTACAGCTAGTGTTTCTCTAATATTTCAATTGGTAGTAGGATGAGATGTTGTTATTACAAGAATCTAAAATATGTGGCATTGGTTTAACCATCAGGATAGGTAAACCTGTGAAGAAACTATTAGGGCAGTATCTTTCACAGAAAGATAAAGACCTATGCTCTTCAGAATAAAATATTTGATAGTTTTACTATCTCCTGTGACAACTTGGAAAGTAAACAAATTGCCTTTTGACTCTCACTTTGGAAGAAAATGTTGGAAAATAGAATGATAGTGGTGTGAGTTCTCTTTACTGGCTGCATTTGTCATGGTACCAAATGGCTGATTTGCAAGAAGAAATGAAAAAGGAATAGAGAGGGTGCCGAAATGTGGAACACTGAAACATTGGATAAGCTGATGTTTTTCTGGTCCAAACAGTAGGAAATGAGATTGAAAAGGTGTGTAATGGCAAATGCCCCTTAAGATTCTGCACTTCCTCAATAGCACCCCCCCCAAACCTATTAAAACATGGGCAAAGGACTTGAATAGACTTTCTTCAAAGAAGATCTATAAATGGCCAATAAGCATGTGAAAAGATGCTCAACATCATTAGTCATTGAGGAAATGCAAATCAAAATGAGATGCTAACAGGAAAAGAAAATGAATGCTAGTTCATACCCAGTAGGATGGCTATAATTAAAAAAAAGGAAAAGAACAAGTGTTGGAGAGGATGTGGAGAAATCGGAACCCTCTTACACTACTTGTGGGTACTTGTGGGTACCCTCTTACATTATTAGGTTCAACCACTGTGGA